AGGTGCTAAAGGCACTTTGCATGAGAAGAACTTAAACGACATTGTAATTCAAAACATGCTCGAGACAAAATAAGAGTTGTCAAAGGGATTGAAGGGGGTCAGCTTGCGTCTTTTGCTCGCTGCAATGACGGTATGTTACAGTTTTGTTGTTAAGTCTGAAGTCATTCTAGATGCGTTGACCAGTGCTAAAGGCACCTTGCATGAGAAGAACTTAAACGACATTGTAATTCAAAACATGCTCGGGACAAAATAAGAGTTGTCAAAGGGATTGAAGGGAGTCAGCTTGCGTCTTTTGCCTGCTGCAATGGTGGTATGTTACAATTTTGCTGTTAAATGTAATGTCATTCTAGATTTGCTGACGAGTGGTAAAAAGCCCTCCCACGCAAAGGTCTTGAATAATGTTAGAACTCAAAACATGAGTTAGGCAAATTCACAATGCTCAAAAAGGTGGACGCGAGTACCCTACCACCCCTCACCGGTAGCAAAGGAGTAGTGTCACAATATTGTCATGGATCAGCCATGTTACTCCGGATTTGTGGGCAATCAATGACCATAGAACCACCACTCAAAATCCTCACTGGATAGATAGTCATATTTAGCAGAGCAAAAATATATCCTTCTACAGTTCTCACGGGTACAATATCAAGAACTCAAGGGATCACTGATGTTAGCATAAGCTGGCCATCTTCCACGGCGTTCTACTAGTACACCGTCTTTTTTGTTCTCGGCGCAACCTGCTGCTATTTCAAAATATTTGCGGGCGAATACGGTCTATGTCATTTTACAAAGTCTTCAAATTAGGAATGTGAGTGATTGATCATGAGATGCAAAACTGTATATCTATCTCAATGATTCTCGTTGTCGTCAGTGCAGGATGCACGGAAGGCCCGAATCGGTTACGTAGAGTTAACGTAGGGCAAATTCCCGGAGCTTCGTTGTCACCGGATTTTTGCATACCATGGCGTCAGATCTAGGACGGGCGGTTCGCTTTGCAGTGCACGAACAATTGAAAGAGTTCCTTGGTTAACGGAAGTTGCCCATTTCCGCAGCATGAGCGCGAAGCTGCCATAGTTAGGAACACAAAATGTGCGCCAGATACCATCCCATCGCACCGACGTGTACCCCATAAAAACCCAATTGAAGATATCCGTCTACACAACATTCCCGCTCGAGATCTTCCTTCAATTTACAGTCCTCCAAAACGCATAATTCTTTGTCTTGAAAGTAACTTCAAGCTATATCATGGCCCCTGTAGGTTTCGCTCCCTTCGCCTAGTTAGCCTACCACTGGCAGGGACACTAATACTGTCATGTAATTGCAGCATCTTGCCCATGGTGCAGGATCCAACGATCCAGCTGATTCAGTATGTCGCTCACCGCACTACCTTTGACTCGGATTTCCAACTAAATTTACTCTGACAGGGTAACGAAGATGGTCGTACAGGCACCACCGACACAGATGATTTTGTGCGCCGCTCATTGCACCAGTTTCTTGACTTGTAACTCAAGTCACTCTATGATAGGGTACTGAAAATGGCACAGACTGCTGTGACAGTATCGTACGTACTGTCACTGTATTCCTAGTTTATCTCGCCGACACAAGGTTTAGGGAAACACTGGCGAATGCTCCGCAACTCATGGACTTCATGCCTCGATTGACTACGATAACGAGTCAGATGAGTCAGACGACGACAGTGACGGGAACTCGGACACTAGCTACGACCCCGATTTTGGGAGCGAGCCAGAATACATCGAAGCCATCAAGGAAATCAGGAAAATTTGCAAAAAGTCGGAGAAGGTTTCGCAGTTCTTGCGTTTTGGTAAAGCGTTCATTTGGCTAGTACGCCGCACCATTGAAGTATTATCTGAAAGGTGGCGCTGGTTACAAACTCAGCGTCTCCCACCAATTCGAGAGCAGCTCTCAAGTAGCCTGCTGCGCTGTTCAACCTGGTAACATCGATGGCCTGAAAAAGATCGTCGGTGCTCGATTTCTGAGTGGTTTTTTTATTAAATTAAACTTTCTTAGATGAAAGTCTTTAAAACGTATGATAAAGTGAAATTTGCGGTACGCATATTTTATTGTCAGTCATTCTCACTATTTCATGGCTTTATGCTAGGTCAAAGGGGGAGGACATTCCACCAATCCTGGCTTCAGCTCCACTACAGGCATTCAGATCTCCATGGCCGACTTCAATGAACTCGAATACAATGGCAAAACCAAGAATCTACGCATCGGAGCGGGATGCCTCTTCGATGAGGTCTACAAAGAAATAGCCTTGTATAAGCGAAACATCGTTGGCGGGGCTACCGCTGCTGGTGTCGGAGTGGCTGGATGGCTACTGGGTGGTGGTTACTCACTCTTGACTAACCAGTACGGTCTTGGAATCGACAATCTAGTTGAGGCCCAAGTCGTCTTGTGCAACGGAAAATCACTAAAGGCATCCGCTCAACACAATAGTGACCTCTTCTTTGCTATAAAAGTGAGTTTATCAAATGCTCAGGTATCATCCTAGTCTTTACGGGAGATAGGGGGGTGGGAACAACTTCGGCATTGTCACTTCATTCACTGTCAAAACCTATCCTCTGGGGCCTATCTACGTCAGTGCCCTGTCGATTTTTTTACTGCGTCTTTCATGCTGATTTTTTGTGCTGTACGGGAAAAAATCAGCGGAACATGTTGACATTTCTGGAACACTGTCACAGTAGACAGCGAACACTGGCGGACAGTCAGAGAGCAGTAATGTGGAAGAGCGTATGGGATTCGGGGTACAGTACGAGATAAGGAATCAGTACATCAGTAGTAAGATATATATACCGGATCATGTTAATAGCCAAACACATATAATCACAACGCGGTGTCCAATCAACACGGATCACGCGTATGACGCAATCAACACGGATCACACGTATGACGCGTTAATCGTATGAGCGTAAGCAGCATGCTTACACCCTTCCCCATCATCCTTCGGAATGTCCTTTCTCCCAGACGTCCAGAGCCTCACAATCCACTAGGTCCTTCCTTGGTAGCCACTCGTCATCCTCTTCTCCAAAACCAACCCAGCGCACTAGATAGCGTTTTCCTCTTCCCACCTTTCGTTCGTCGATGATCCTGTCGATGAAGTTCTCCAATTGACCATCTTCCGTAACCACTGGTCCCGGTCGGGGGTGTTCGCGTGTAGGAAAAAGAATAGGGTCGTTGGCGTGATAGGGACGTAGTTGACTGACATGGAACGTCGGGAAGATGTTAGGTGAATTGGGAAGGTCGAGGGTGTAAGTTGACGATTCGGGATGTGCGTCCAGTATTGTGTACGGCCCGTCGTATCTAGGCATGAACTTTGCAACTCTTTTGTCACCTTTCTGCATGTACTCTCTCCTGCGGTGTTTTGTGGCAAGCATGACGCGGTCACCGATTTCGAGTGTGATGGCTGGCGCACGGTTCTTGTTCACGTTTACAGCTTGAGCTGCCTTCGCAGCGAGCAAGCGATCCTGAGCTTCCATCACGTCGTGCTTGAGTTGCGACAGTAAGTGTCTTGCGCGATCTTCTTCAGGCTCGACGTTTTGAGGCGCTGTAACAAGTGGAGGTAACATCCTGGGCGAGCGACCGAGATGTAACTGGAATGGGGAAAAACCAGTACTCGTGTTTACAGAATTCATAAGATGAAAACGTACACGGGGAAGTGCACGAACCCAACCCTTGTGGTTCCGGTCAACGTAGTAGCGTAGACTTTGGTTAACGGTTTTATTTGTTCGTTCACTTGCACTGTCGGTTTCGGGATGGTACGATGAGGACATCTTCAATTTAACACCTGTCAGTTTGTGCAACGCGCGCCAGAAGCGTGATAAGAAAAGCTTATCGCGGTCCGAAACTATTTCTTGAGGCAGCCCGTTTTCACAAAACCAATGATCGAAAAAGAGACTGGCGAAATGTTCGGCTGAGATATTATCCCTGCAAGGCACAAGACGTATATCAGCGTTCAACCTATCTGTCATAGAGACAATGATATTAAACCCGCTGTCTTCGGGTAAAGGTCCAATGAAGTCGATAGCTACACAATCTCCACGCGCGTCTGGAACCGGTAGCGGATGTAATGGTCCAGTTGTTGCTGTCGTTTTTGATTTGTTGCGCAAGCATTCACCACATGAGGGGATGTATGAGTCCATGAGATCACGCCTCATGTTAGGCCAATAGTATGAACCTCGAAGGAGCGCATAGGACTTATCAGCGCCAAAGTGGCCAGCCGTGTCGTGCGCCGCATTGAACAATGTTTCGCGAAGGTTATCCACGCGTGGGATCACAAGACGATCTGCTATGTAAAATAATCCTCGTTCGTCCTGCGTCAGACCCGGTAGTGATCCTAAAAGCCCAGTTAGCTTCTTACACCATGGATCGTTTGCGTACCCTTCGAGAATGCGCGTGATAAGCGACTCGTCTGCACGGAGGGTAAGTATTGCTGCACATATGTCTGCTGTGGACGTTGTGTCGGTCCTTCGTGACAGGGCGTCCGCGGCTTCATTTTCTTCACCCTTGATATAGTGGATTGACATGTCGTACTGCGACATGTATTCTGACCACCTCGCTTGACGACGTGAGAGGTCACGCTGCGTGGTGAAATTCTGTAGAGTACGATGGTCAGTAAAAACGTCGACGTGTGCACCTAACAAGTCTGAGCGCCACTTCTTCAAGGCACGTATGATGGCGAGAAGCTCCTTTTCGTGTACTGGGTAGTTGAGTTCCGCTGCTCGTAGTTGCATTGAGTCGAACACGACGGGTCTAGATGTTTCTCGTGTCGGTCCCCACGAAAGTAAGGCGCCTGTTGCGTAGTCGGACGCGTCGCAAGTAAGAAATATCTTGTTTTCTCCTGGGTTGTCGTGGTCTATCGTGGTAAGACACTCCGGGCTGACCACTAAGTCTTTGACGGCCTGGAACGCTCGCGCGTGCGTGTCTGTCCACACGGGGAATTCTAACTCTGCCGCTTTAGTAGTTAGCGTGGTAAGGATACGGGTGTGTTCCGCAACGTTGGGGAGATGGTCTGAGAGATACCGTACTATGCCCAGAAATGCGCGTACTTCGGTCGCGTTCTTTGGTTGCGGCCAATCCAATATTCGTGCGACCTTGGAGTCATCGACCTCGATGCCTCTTGCAGAAATGTGGTGGCCCAAGAAATCGATCTCTGTATTAAATAGAGAAGTCTTCTTTGGTGAACAATAAAGGTGGGCCACACGCAGGGCCAACAGGACTTGTCGAACGTTCCGTTCGTGTTCTTCCAGTGTTTGGGACCAGATGATAATGTCGTCTAGATAAACGTGACAAATTTTACCGATTAAGTGTCGTAATGCGGTGGTCATGCGGCGCTGGTGAACGGCGGGGGCGTTGCGTACACCCATGGGCATTACGGTCCACTCGTACTTACCGAAGGGAGTGTGGATTGCCAAGTATTTCGTGTCGTCTGGATGTACTCTCGTTTGAAAGAAAGCGTTAGTCATATCAATTTTTCCAAAGAACTTGCCTTTCGCACAGTCCTTCAGAATCTCGTCAATCCGTGGCAACGGATGGTTATCTGGGACGGTATTGTCATTAAGGAGGCGAAAATCATTTACCCACCTAGGCAATACTGTCGGGTCCGCCTTAGGAATTATAAACGAGGGTGACAACCACTCGCTCTCGGACTCCTTCAAGCGCCCGCTTTCTAGATGTGAGTTTAGGAGGGTCTTCCAAGCGGCCCGGTACTTCTTGGGACAGTCATACGAGCGCTGTTGGACAATACGGTTAGCTTCTTTTAAGTGCACGCGAAACAATACATCGGACGGCATCGTGTCGTTGTGCGGAATGTCCGCTGGAAAGCGGTCCTTGAACTCAGACTTCACTGCAGCGTCCATTTCAGTCAGTTTGTCTTGGAATTCGAGTTCGGCTATCCGCGTCTGAACTGCCGCTGTAATATCCCCACCATTAACTGTTTCGCACTCCCTGTCGACTATGGTCTTAAGTTCCGGGAGGATGCACTTGAGTTCGTTAACGACGTCGCGCTTCATCCAAAATAGTTGGGGACCATACGGCACAACGCGAACAGGAGGGGGAGCTGGAACTGTGGGTGGGTGGAGGAGGTCGTAATCAGTATCTTTTACAATGCAAGTACGCATCTCGTGGTCAATAATTATGCGATTGTGCTGCAGAAATGGTCCTCCGAGTAACAGTGGTGTACAAAGTTTTGGCGCGATCACAGCGCGTACAGTGCGAGAGGTGTAAACATGGTCAAGAGACGAACACGACAGTTTGACATATTGCGAGAGAATAAAAGGTTGTTTGTTGTCTTGAGACAATGCGAGAGAGACGGGGAGAGTTTTGGCCAGTTGATGACGTCGTAGTCCAAGTTTAGTGACGAGATCTTCGTCAATCAGAACTAAAGATGAACCGTGGTCAATGAGAGCAGATACAACAATAGAAGAAGGAATAGCCGGCCCGTCAACACGACACTCCCAACGTAAGTGAGGGGTTTGTAACGGGGCCACGCACTCTTCTTCAGATTCTGAACCGCTGCCCAGTACCGCAGAGGGCATTACCACTGCGATGGTGTGGTGTCCTTCGACCTCTACAGCAGCCACAATCTTCGGTTTTCTGGAGGCGATGAGCGACGCAGTGATTGTCTTGTATGACGCGCCGTCTGGAAAGCCTTTGGGACAAGCGGTTGATGTATGGCCAGCAAATGGTTCGCGACACTTGAAGCACCCGTCGTTTTCACGAAGTAGTTGGCGTTCATTTTCTGTCAGGGAAGGTAGTCTTGTGAAGGGTTTCGAGGATGAGGCTGTGGTCGTGGATGAGGTTGTAGTTTGACCCGCTCTGGCGTTGAAACGAGATCCAGGTGTAAATTTCTTATCACCACCGGAACGTGCTCGTTCATTGCGCAGTGCGGTGTCGACCGCTTCTTTTTGTCGAACGAGGTAGCGCACCCTCCGTTCGTCGAGTAGGCGTACTTTCTCTATCCATTTCCGCAAATCCGTTTCGGTTATGTTTTCCGCATGGTAATCGGCAGCTAGCTCGGCGTTCATATGAGACTCAAGGTGGTAACGGATATTGATTTCTTTTAGGTGTGATGTCGTTCCGCGTAGAAGGGTGTTTTGGCTTTGTATATCCACGGCCCATTCGTTGAACGGACGTTGACCTTGTGTGGAAGCCAACATCTTGCGTCGAACTACATCGGACCATCCGGAGGGAAGCCAGTAGTCGCGAACTTCCGCCATGTAGTCTGCGAAGGTGAGCTTGTCAATACGTTCGCGATCGTTGATATACCAATCCTGAATAACCGCTTCCTGCATTCCCCAAGTGACCTTTTTAACCATCTCTTCGTCTTTCACATTCTTGTGGAGGAAGAACTGTGTGCAGCCCATTTCCCATGAGCACAGAGCCTCTGGGGTCAACTCGCCCGCTGTAAGAAAGGGCGGTTTACTTGGTGAAGATTGCTCTACGCGCGCGGTCTTGGTTGTCGACATATTGAATGTGATAGAGACGTTTTGATCGGTGGAGTCGGAATCAGTGGATATATGCGTGTTGATCCGTGAATGGGAACGCGGGGATGCGATGATCGGAGCGATCGGTTGTATTAATGTAGGTGCGATCGCAGTTGGGATATCAGCGTGCGGCGATCGAAGTCTATCACGACTGCGTGTCGTGACCGACAGGGGTATAGGTATTTGTGTGCGGCGGGGAGGCAGTTTGTTTATTCTTAGCTGGGTTGACCCTTGGCCAATACCCACTGGTATGTTCTAAGGACGGGGAGTGACGGTTACGGTTCCTTGAGTTTGACGATTGTCAATACTCAACGTTGGTTCTGATAAGAACAAGGTTCGGCAGTTATAACGGTTCGGATAACGATTTAACGCTCAGCTGGACGTTAAAAAAAAGTGGAACACTGTCACAGTAGACAGCGAACACTGGCGGACAGTCAGAGAGCAGTAATGTGGAAGAGCGTATGGGATTCGGGGTACAGTACGAGATAAGGAATCAGTACATCAGTAGTAAGATATATATACCGGATCATGTTAATAGCCAAACACATATAATCACAACGCGGTGTCCAATCAACACGGATCACGCGTATGACGCAATCAACACGGATCACACGTATGACGCGTTAATCGTATGAGCGTAAGCAGCATGCTTACAATTTCCAATGGATGAGTCTACAAAAGTGAAGGAAGCAATTATGAACTTCATTAACAAGTGCCAAGACAAGAAGGCGGCGATCGTTGGTGCATACAGACATTTCTGTATCCGCGGAAAGAAGGAGGTACGTCCGACCTTCCAGGTCTGCTATTCCCTGACATTAACTGTCGACATAGCACAAGATCACTGTTGACCTTTTCTATGATGGACCTCTTCCTTCCGACAATCCTTTTACGGAGCTTCTCGAACTCTCTGACGACAAATGGATTGATCATCAGACCCAGGGCGGAGCGGACAAGAAGCTTGCAGAAAACTTTGCATTCATGGACCAGCTTTTTTCCCATATTCATGATCCGTCTCGCGTCGCTGGACCTCCGTTGCATAGTCCAATTTCTGGGACACGGCTCTCCTTAGAAACATATGCGAATAATCCCCCTAAAGCCGGTGTGGGAGAAGAGAATGTTAGGTGTGTTGTGAAACACTGTTCTCGACGTTCGTCCTACTCACACTCCCAAAGGGCGCGTTGGGGGACCGTGATGGTTTCGCACTTCACCCGAAAGCTCTTGGATAAGATCGAGGAAGAATCGAAGGTATAATCATCCTTAGCATCCAATTGTGCAATATCTTTCTCAATGCCCTTATTCTCAGCGCGCCGCCAGTCACATGAAGGACAACCAGGGAAAGACAGCCGTCATTGATATCTGGCCGTTCCTACCGTCGATGTTTGACACAAGTACTTCCGCCGCCTGGCCGCACAAGAAAGGCCGGCCGAATGGGCCGTTACTCGTCTGCTTCCAATGGGAAGGAGAGAGCAACGATAAGTACTGGATCGGGCTTCTGATGGAGATCCTGCAATCTATTCGCAAGGTGGCAGAGGACGAAGGGTGCACTAATGACAAGTTGCCAATATATTGCAACACCTCACTCGCCGATACTCCGGTGGAGGACATCTACAAGGATCATCTGTCAACGCTCAGCAAAATCCGCGCAAAATACGATCCTGACGATATGATGAGGAGAACTGGCGGGTTTAGGATTCCTTTGGCGTCGTAGACATCCATGCTTAGCGCTCAAAGAAGTACCGACGAAACTCGTGCATTATGTACTGCATTCATGCGGCAGTGCGGGCACGCCAATGAGGTCATGACTTAATGCGTGGCCCAAACTTGAAGCCCCTATTTCCTCGATCGAACAAAAAACCTCATCTAGTAATACTTCAAAAACTCCCTTTCCTATTTGCTCCTCTACATGTACAATGGCCACCAAGTCTAAAGTCTTTGATGACAGCACGTCCGTTTCCAACCCACCTCCCTCGTATGATTCAATTTCTACGTCTGTATCAGATGTTGTCCGGTACAAACCATCGGTATTTTCCTTCCTGAAATCCAAGGAAAAACGTCGTGCGACAGTGCTCTCTGGCATCCGTGAAATTGTCTCCTCTCCTGATTTCACCCCTTCATCTGTCGGGTCGATCGCTGCTACTTTGCCAGCAGCAGAGTTCTCAGATCTCCTGCAACAACGCAATATCGAGGATCACACAGCGCTGTATTGGGCGATCGTAAAAAAGCGGCGAGAAGTCCTTTGGGTGTTCACTAAATTCATTTCCGAATTCTCGCCGGCTTGTTCTTCCGACTTACGACTTGCGTGCATGACAATGAACGATAACGATCTCTTTATGCAGCTGAATTTAGGGGACAATGTTAATCGTAAGTGCATGGTCCAAAATGTCCTGAGAGCGCGTCAATTAACTAATCACATGCTATCAGCCAAGGATAAGTCTTTGAGACGGATTTTGGGTTGTCCGCGAGATGAGATCCAGGTGTTCCAGCATGAACTGGTCGAAAATCGCCGCATTGTTTATTTCAAGTTGGTCTTCAAGATGTTCCAGACACGCCTGCGCATTATGCAGGAATTGGCGGTAGAATTTATTGCCCAGGGTATGTAATTCACGTCTTTTGGCTTGTTTTTCATGCTGATGATTGAACGTACTATTCACCGAAGGACGTATATGGGTGTTGAGAATTTATATGGGACCGGACGGGAAGTGGCACGTTGGGTGTGCTCTTTCTGAACAGAGTTCGCCAGTGGTGCATCCATACGTCGGCCTTACAATTGAGTCCCACAGGCCATCGCCTGGGTCGGACACCCCGGAAGATCTAGTTTTAAACTTGAAACGCGCAGCGGACACACTTATAGCTACTAAGGACTCTAAGGAGTGGGTATATCGTTCCCATACATTGAAAGTTCAAGGCATACTGATGTTTTTGTTGTTCCCATGTAACCATTCTTTGCTTCCTTGCTCTGGCTAATACACAGATCATTTCGCCACTGGCATTACTACACGGGTTTTGTACCTAGCAAGATCACCGGAATGGACCGCCTGTTAGATGATTGGCCGATGGACCAGTAAGTCTTCCTCGTTATCCATTGACGTGTTGTGTAACTCTCCGTGAACTGACTCGGGTTGTATGGCTTTAGTGATACTACATACGTAGACCACGATGGCACATTAACTGCAACATTAGTGCTAGGTCGCCTAGCACCATGTTCAAGCCTGTTTCTTCGATTTAAACAAGCGCTGAGTCAATATTTTGTTGCATGAAATATAGCTGCATGTTGTTGTAACGGAAGCGAACGATAGCCCAACACCTGATGGTGGGGGATGGATGTATCCTTTTGGCCTATAGGCCTAAAATAGGGATACATCCCCCAATCTAATTGTCCACTCACCAGTGATACATCCATGTAGTCTGAGAATCCATGTATCTAATATAGCAAGCAGAAATCTTAAACATACATTATGACTGCAATTTTGGCTCCCCAAAGCGAAAATTCATGATATATATTCCATTTTGGTAACCTCCTATGTACAGGTGCCGAGAAATGGAGCCTGCCGGAATTTCTCGGCACCATACGTCCAGCTGAGCGTGCGCGCTATTCGCTTCTGTATCTATTTTCCTTTCCTACACGACGACGAGTTCGTCGTACAGCGTACTTCCTCACTACTGTCCGTACCTGCAGTCGTTTCTTTTACCCACCCACCACTCCCTCAATTTTTTTTTCAAGCTACATTTCAGTGATTTCACACTTCGTAATTCCGCGCTATGTAAATAGTCGTACTCCACGACATATTATTCTATACCCATTGATCCGTTACTCGATAGTCATATGACATGATCGAATTCGTAGGTAGGTGTCCCGCCCTCCCGAGCGGCTCCAACCTGCCTACGTCCCACCCCGAGCTAACGCTCGGTCCAGCCCAACCTATCAGATCATGTCAGCGACTCTCGAGTCAGACGAAGCTGGACATGTCAGGCCTCCCCACATTATTCCCACACATCATATGTTCGCATTTTTCAGCCCCACAGTGTGGGAATTACCCCACAACACCAAAAACATCGCCCATTTTGGGAATCTCCACAATATCAATTATTCCCACACCCTTCCCACCTCACTGCAGCTTCACCACCACCCCACAATAGGTCCCCCTCCATATATAAGTGATAGTTTGGTATATATATGTATATTATAATATAATGGTCCGCTTTTTTTGTTTATTTGTGTACCTGCTCCTCCTCCAGGGCCCTTTCAACATAACCTAGGGTACAGAACACTTTCGCATTTTTGCCCCTATGACAGGGAAGTGTTCTAAGGCATTCAGAACATGTTCAGGAGTATATATGAATGTATTCCCATCTTTATTTTACCCCCTGAAGCGCCCTACATCAATAGTTATAGCATATATACATAGAAACATCAGGAAAACGACAAGTTACTTACTCTGACTTATTGTCAACTTTTCACACACAATAAGGCGAAATAAGCAAAGGCTGAAATAAGTGACCGCCAGGTTGAAAAAGGCCACTCATCGTCTGAATTTTCACTTATTTCGAACTTAGTTTACTTTCATATCACAAATAAAGCAGAAAAAAGGGCATTGTCCATTCAGAAAAGCACGACGCGAAAGCAATTAAGTGGATCACTAAGGGAAGATAAAACAGCGAAAATCAATGGTAGCTTATGCGTGTAGTAGTCGGAGAGCAGTAGAAAATGGTACCAGAGGAGCATATGAACAATGATAGCAGGTTGAGGATGGTGCTGATTCGTGAAGGCCCATGGGGCAGCGGATGGCTCTGTCAAATCCACAAAATCAGCATGGTGAACACGACAAATAAATAAAGCAGAGAACGATGCACAAGAGGGAAAGATTATACATACACAAAAAGGCACGGTCATCATCAGAGCTGTGCGAAATGGCTGCATCCGCAGCGGTGCTTTCGTTCAAAGCTGACCGCGCCATCTCTACTGTAGTTTCAACGAAGTCCTTGCTCTTCTTCTTGATGCTCTTCATGTACCCAGTGTTCGCTTTATGCCAGAGATCACGCGAAAACATATACGGAGCGCTGGTCTCCTTGCCAGTGAGCTTGTTGAGTACTTTGGGCAGCTTGATGACCACCTTGCCGCGAGATGTGGTCGACGCTAAGATATCCTCGACTTTGATATCACCGTCCGAAATTAATGTGACGGCGCGCTCAAGCTATGCGAATTCATCGAGAGGGATCATTGATGATAAGAAAATAGACTTACTGCTGTAGCGCAAAATCCAATAACACCGGCCATCCCTTTCGATGCGAGGTCTTTGGTTTTCAATGCGGGAATATTAGCGTGACCGTCGACGACATTGAGGTGAGCCTTTCCAAGGAGCTGCAGGATGAATACAGAGTGGAATGCACCGTCGGGGTCACGCTTGTCCATATCCTCAAAGATGAAGGCATAATTCTTCAAAAGGAGCCCTGCAAGAACCTCTGGGTCGCAGTCGCTGTTGCTCATCAGAAAATCGTAGATAAGCACAATGGCTGTAGAGCCAAAGTTGCTCCGCCACTCAGAAAGACGTTGAACAGTCTGAGTATGGAGTCGATACAGTGAGAAAATGTTTTTGACATCTGGAGCAAGAAGCACCTACGAGCGAAAAAACGGCACCATTCAGAACAATGGTAAGTTTCAAGTCTGGGTAGATTGCCTGAAAAATGATTTGAATGTGTGTGAGCAGAGTCACATCTGGGATTGTCCAGAGGGATTCTTGGCTGCCAGCCCACAATATCATCGTCGGAAGGAACTTTTTGGCCCAGCGGTTGTCTGCTTGCACTTGTTCAGGGAGGTCGCAGCTTCGGTATTGCGCTCGGGGCTTCAGCTCGTTGTGCGGTGTGTCGACATTGACAGATTTCTGTTCCTTGGGGGCGGGAGCATCACTGATAGATGTCGAAGATGGTTCCACTTTCACCTTTTTAGTTGGCAAAGGTTTGACGTCTGTGGTCATGACCGTTGTCTAATGAAAAACTTGTGTCAGGAAGGACTAGTTAACCAAACGGTTGGATGCTCACCGAAGTCGTAGTGCGGGAAGGCTTCTCTAGCTTCACTTTGGGCTTCTCGGGCTCCGCTTCATGCTTCTGATCGATCTCGTCCGGTAGGTCGATGTCCATTGTATTGTTGACTAGAGGTGCAGTGAGTTTCAGGGTGTTGGCATCAGCAAACAGCGCTGACTCACTTTCGTCGTCCGAAAACTCATCAATTTCACTGCCAGAGATAAGATCGAGGACTTCAGAAGCCTTCCTTTTGAGGACGTTGCTGGTGTCGGCAACCCTGGTCGGACCTAATGGCGACAACTGGGTGAATGGAGCACGGAACTCTGCTGGAATCCCTGACTCGTCATCGGAGTCATCGACTGTGAGAGTAACCGTCATCTTTGAACATTATCAGTGGAAATTTCTGGTGGGAGATCAGTGAACAGTTACCGCTGCAGCTGACCTCCCTTCCTTGGCAGTTATCCCATGCGCAGCCAGGCGTTCTAATTCGTCATCTTCATCCTCATCGTCGGCAAAACCTCCAGTGAGCGCATCCTCAGCTGCACCAATACATTGAGGAGGACGTTTAGAAGCATCAGTCAGAGTTGTGCTGTGAGAGGTAATGGAAGAGCCTGTAAGGCGAGAAAAAATTGTTGACGGGGGAGGTGATGCCGAAGTATGAGTTGCGTGACTCGCGTGCTGAGATTTGATGGGCGTCTTGACGCCTGAAGCCCAGTTCTTCACTTTGTTGGTGAGAGCCAATTCAGGCTGTTTCCTGCGGTTCAGAGTTAAATTGAGGAAGAACATGGTTGACTCCGTGAGTAGAAGCATGATGAGTGTGAAGTAGAGACTTACGCATCAAGTACATTGCCTTTCTTATCCACACGTGCTGCCTTATCTCCGCAATCAGCAGTGTTCCGCTTGATTTCATTACGCGCTTGATTGACAGCATCCTTCATCGAAGCTTTGATAACCTTCTTCTTGATCGTACCACTCTTAGTGTGTGAGTCTTGATCGACAGCGTCGTTGTCGATATCCATTGGCACATCAGCCTTCTGAGTGAGTACTCCCAACCCTTGATTGGTTCCGACTTCATCATCACCTCCACCACAGGCTGCTGCAATATCTGGGCTGTCCTTTGCAGCCTTCTTGCCTTTGTAAGGCGTCGGACGAGGGCGGACTCCCTTGACCTTCCTCGTCAGCACATTCGTCTGTTTCGCTTCCATCTCCAGCTCTATACCGGCCACACGCTTAGCACCTGCCTCAGCAGCAGCTGCTTGTGCTGCTACCTTTGCCGCCTTTTCTTCTCGGGCAGCTGCAACTTCTTCTGTCGTGCGTCGGGGTTTTTTTGCCTGTAAGAGGATGGCACCTGGATGCGCAGTTGCGTTAGACGCACGAGTACGACGAGTCGGAGTGGTAGCGGCACGTTGAGCAGGCATGTTGAGGTGAAAGTTGCACGTAAGAAGCTGCAAGAGAGGTGAACAGGAATTTGCGGGTAGCAGGGAGCAACAAGAGACGGTCTAAGCTAAGTGAAAACTTTTAAGTGCGCTACCCTGATCCCAAACATGGACAACGCATACTGATTACGACCCCAACACTTACTAGGCTGGCAGCTCGGTTTGCTTTCAACCGAAAGTTTGTTTTCTTAACGCTAAGTATAAACTATGTACATACTCCATTTTTTCACGCTCCTCACTGGCTAATATTGTCTAAAGGAACCAGAACTCTCGACGGGATCACAACGCACTGCAACTTCCTTGCGGACGCTCAAATTGTCGGCGTTATTTCAAAACTCAAGCGGGACGAACGAAACATTGGAACGCAGCGCATCCTACAATTGCAAGGGCAGCTAATGCTTATCATCCCAGTGTTTCTGAAGAGCTGGAAGAGCACCCTCCGGCACCTGAGCAGCCTGAGGCACAATTTGACTTTCAAGAAGCCGAACATGATGACCCGAATATGACGGATCACGATGGGACACGGGACTCACCAGCTCCCAGCATCAACGTTGAGTTCTGGGGGCCAGGAGACCGTCTATATCGGAACTTTCACAAGGACCTCGACGGTAATACTTTACTTTGCTATTAGAACAACTTTCTAACCATATTTCACCGTATATTTTCTAGCTCGTCCATGTGACGAGAACGGCACATTTCTTCCCCCTGGAAGCCCACCAAAGCCACTCTCTGATAAATCTCCTGACGACTGGACGCCTTACCGAAACCGTATCGAGTTCGAAACCGCGGAATTTTTTTTCACCGAGAATCAGACACCTGCAGCCCAGATCAATAAGCTACTCGATCTCTGGGCTTCAACCCTCCAGAAACACGGCGATAAGCCTCCATTTGCAGATTTCCGCGACCTTCATAAAACCATTGACAAAACACCACTCGGTGATGTCAAATGGCAATCGTTTTCAGTTCGATACAATGGTGAACGACCAGCCGCTGATGTGCCGCCGTGGATGGACCAAGACTTTGACGTCTGGTACCGTGATCCACGAGAAGTTGTTCGCAATATGCTTGCGAATCCGGACTATATCGAAGAGTTCGATTACCGACCCTACCGCGAATTCTTGACCGATGGTGATGAGCGTCAGTGGAGGGATTTCATGTCCGGTGATTGGGTATGGGATCAGGCGGTGAGTCTATCAACGTTTTGCAACTATCAACGTTTTGCAACTATCAACGTATTGCAACTTATCATTAGCTATCAACGTATTGCAACTTATCATTAGCTATTAACGTATTGCAACTTATCATTAACAATTGTTTCCAGGACATAATCTCAGAGGATCCGGAATCACATGGATCCACGTTCGTACCTGTTATTTTGGGCAGCGACAAGACTACTGTGTCTGTCGCAACGGGAAACAACGAATATTACCCACTCTATGCGTCTATCGGCAATGTTCGCAACAATGTCCGACGAGCTCATCGTGACGCAGTAAGTATCATTGGGTTTCTTGCTATTCCCAAAAGTAAGTTTCATTTGTCTAACATATATTCTTACATTGCTTATCCGAGCTACTAGCAACTAAGGAACATGCAACTGGGGATGTAATGTTCCGAAAGTTCCGCCGGCAATTATTTCACTGCTCGCTCTCCAAGATCCTCGAGACACTTCGACCCGGTATCACGAAGTACGAAGTCGCGCGATTTGGCGATGGCCATTTTCGCCGTGTTATATACGGTCTGGGACCGTATATAGCAGACTACGAAGAGCAAGTGTTATTGACGTGCATCGTGCGTGGCTGGTGCCCAAGGTATGTACTCGTGCATCTTTCTAGTTGACTACTTAGACTCATTATTGGACAGATGTTTATCTTCACGTATCAATCTAGACGAGCAGGCCGGTTGGCGCTGTCGTCATCACACAGATGTGCTTGTCGGAGGGGACCCTTGGTGAATTGTGGGACGAGTATGGTATCGTCGGTGATCTCGTTGTAAGTCCATCTTTCGTGCTACGTTTTTGCAACTTCTTAACACTTTATCAGCCGTTCACAAACGATTTCCCTCGCGCTGATATCCATGAGCTCATTGCCCCCGATATCCTTCACCAGCTCATCAAAGGCACATTTAAAGACCATCTTGTGGAATGGGTCGAGAAGTATCTGTATCAGACGCACTCGAAGAAAGAGGCCCAGCGCATCATGGATGATATTGACCGAAGGTAAAGGTTTTATTTAATAATCTATTTAGCTATCTCACCAGTTATCTAGAATTGCTGCTGTTCCCGCCTTCGCTGGCCTTCGACGTTTCCCGCAAGGACGAGGCTTCAAGCAATGGACCGGCGACGATTCAAAGGCACTGATGAAGGTACGTTCTTCTCACAGATTGGACTACTGATGTTGTACTTACACATAGCTAAGGTATACTTGTCCGCCATCGAGGGACATGTCCCTGTAGATATAGTTCGAACATTTCGAGCTTTCCTCGATTTTTGCTACTTCGTCCGGCGTAGCGTCATTACGGAGAAGACTCTCAAGAACATACAAGAAGCTCTCGACCGCTTTCATCGATACCGACAAACTTTCGAAACGATTGGTGTTGTATCTACATTCTCACTCCCTCGCCAACACTCACTTCAACACTATGTACTCCTCATTCGTCTTTTTGGGGCCCCGAATGGCCTGTGCTCATCGATCACCGAAGCAAAGCATATCAAAGCCGTGAAGGAACCGTGGCGGCGTTCCAGCCGGTACAAGGCCCTTGGCCAAATGTTGGTCACAAATCAACGTCTTGATAAACTCGCGGCATCGCGTGCTGATTTCACCCAACGCAAAATGCTTGATGGGACCTGTCTTTCTGCAGCTGCACTTGCAGTAGGTAAGTAGCATATTGTGTCTTTATCGTGCTCGCGCTGATGCTTAAATAGAAAAACTGCGCACTATGAATCTTGAGCCAGGCGATGTGGACAGTGCGCACATGATTAACGGCACAGAGGCCAACAACAACCAACAGCACAGAGGCCAACGACAACAACAACGATACCGAAGTTGACGACGGGCCAACTAATGTCGAAGCGCATGTTGAATTGGCCAAAACGCCTCGTAAGTGCTCCAGCACCTGTTTCTGTCCAATGGCTAATATATTATTTAGAACGCAAACGAGCTCGCACACCTGCCGCGTTAGCAGTTGAATTGGCAATCCCACAACTCCCCAACCTTTTGCGCCGCTTTCTCTTTACCCAACTCAATCCAGATGACCCTCGTGACCCTTCCGAAGTTCCCCTTACTTGTTGTCCTCAATACAACGACAAAATCAGTGTTTTCAACTCCGCATGTTCCAGATTCTTTGCCCCGAGCGATCCAAGTGGTATCGGGGGCATGCGTCGCGAGTATGTTCGCGCATGTCCAATATGGAGAAATGAGTACCCTCGTTATGATTGTGTCTTCGTCAACACGAATCCGGATCTCGACGGGATGAGGGGTATGGACGTTGCGCGAGTGTTGAGTTTTTTCTCTTTCACATACAAGGCTGAATTATACCCATGCGCAGTTGTGCGGTGGTTCGATACAATTGGAGATTCACCCAACGAAGACAACGGAATGTGGATGGTACAGCCTGCTCATCACGCGAACAACTCTCCCCATATTTCCATCATTCATATTGACTCAATCTACCGCGCCGCACACCTTATTCCTATATACGGTACTCAATTTATTCCTCCGCAACATCAGCACCATCAGACTTATGATGTTTTCCGCAAGTTCTATGTTAATAAATACGCAGATCATCACGCATTTGAAATCGCATTTTAGACTTGTTCTGTACGGTCCTTGCTTATTACACTTTAATTCAACTTTTTTGAACTTCGCACATGAACTTGTTTGCACGCTGGTCCCACTTTCTAATAATTAGAAAAAGCAGCCTTTAAGGTAGTTCAAAATTTTCGTTCGCAAGAAATAAGGGCCATTAAGTGAAATAAGGCGAAATAAGTAATCGGTGAATTTACTGATGCACTGCAGATATGTGCTTCTCCTGTCTGGTCATGCCACTCCGGGGTGTCACTTCGCGTGCACTTAAGTGCTTGCAAACTCCCCATCATCTATGTCACCGTTTCATAGGTCGTCGCAGGACATGCTCGATGTAACATTCGTGCTGCTTCCCGAACAATTCAAACAACGGATTTGGATTTGCACACTGCTGTGCGCCTGTTCGTCGGTGATGCTTCCTTGGCCCGTTCACGCATGTAATAGTATATGTACATGTCTTTAATGCTTTCTCAGTTTATGTTCTCGAAAGCAAATGACCCGAACGGCGAGGCAGCTAATTTCGAATTCGAATCACGATGGTCCATTGGACGTATGCACGTTCGCTTCCAAGTCCTACACTAGAAACCAGACGTCGTACGGATGAGAAAATTCCGATGCCAAGCGCTTCCTATATCTAGAACCTGCGCTTGTCTAGATTCACCCGGTGCTCTTAGAAGGCCTCTAACGGCGAGAAAACCACCACGATTACATGATGGAATCGGCGCTGAAAGTTCAAGATAAGAAAGCGATGTTTGTCTCAAGTCACTTGTCGATCATCCCTCGGCCGAATCACACGCACTGATTTTTTTCCTTTGCCAAACTTGTTAATCTAGTACTCCCTCGATCATCTTGAGTAGGGATCTATACGTTGTTCAAATTGTAGTTCACTGTACTAGCTGTCCTGACGAAATATCCAAAGTTTTCACATAATCGCGCTCAAGAATTTCCACAACTGAAATCGGCCTAGGGATGGTAGTTTGAGCAAAGTCCCCTGGGGAAGCGAGTATTTTTTCCGAGCCCACGTCACGCTAAACAATCACGGAGCTAACCCAGAAAAAGTCTAGGCCATACTTGACCCATTGTTTGATTCAGCCTTGCCATGCTGCCCGTATCGAGTCCGATAGCGGGAAAGCAATGCAGACCGGTAAGATGCAATAGTCGCCGCTCGGGCGCGTGCCCGGACGTGGCATATCATCGATAACGGAAGTGTGAGGCACACCTATCGTGGTTTTCGCCTTCTTGATCTTGTGGCGAAGTAAGATACCTTACGAAGGATGTTGGAAGATGCAGAGTAGAATAGAATAATATAATGAAATAGAGATCTGGTTGCAGAACTGATTACGGTAGATTGTTGTGCATGAGAGCACCAGACCAATGCTCACTGGAGCGGGTTTACTGTGCGCAGGATGAAGGAGTTAATATATACTTATGACGAGCGTTTATGAAGAGGGGATGTGATGATGCGAAAAAGGAAAATGAGATACGCCGTGGCAGCCTGTGGCAGCGTGGTAGCAATCATGGAGCCAATTGAGGGACCATGGATGGGCGCTAGGCTACATAAGTTGGGATATAAATATGGGCAGAAATCTAACTCGACTCACGATATGTAAGATTGATGATGTCCTAACCATCAAGTACGCTCCTCGTTAACTTGAAATATTACTGACCGTTTGTCTCTCTGTCTAGACCAACGCGACATGTCAGGAGTGCTTGATGTGGCGAAAAAAGTGTACCTCGCCGTGAGAAGGCGCGCGACGCCCGTGCGGACAGTACAACTGGCGCAAACAACACAGCCGGCGCCAACGCAGATGATGCAGGTCCACACTGACTCAGTTTCAGCAGTTGCGTTCTTCAAAGACAGTCAACGGGTCGTCATTGGATCAGATGATACAACCCTGAGAATTTGGGACTTGAAAAAAGGAGAATTGGTAGAAGGACTATTCGAGGGACACGGGGACAGCGTGTTTTCGGTCGCCATATCACCAGACGACAGGCGAATTGCGAGCGGTGGAAGAGATGAAAGCATCATCATCTGGGACGTCGAGAACAAGCAGATGGTATTCAATCCACTAGTGAAGCATAGAGACACAGTGTGGTCGATGTGCTTCTCCCCCAATGGAAAGAGACTCGCAACCGGGTCGGATGATTGCACGGTTGTTATATGGGATGCGCAGACTGGCACCGTCCTCTCAACACTCTGGGGTCAGAGGAAGGTTTTGAGTGTCGCATTCAGCCCGGATGGGCTAAAGTTGGCATCCGGATCATGGCGTACTATTCGGGTTTGGCGGACCGATAACGCCGAACTTCTTCTCGAGATTAACAACGCTCACAGTCAAATTGTTCAAAGTGTTGTATGGTCACCTGACGGTCAGCAACTTGTCTCCGCATCAGAAGACAAAACAATCAAGTTCTGGGATACGTCGAATGGATATCAGATCGGTGAATCTTGCACTGGTCACACTTCCTACATCAACTCTCTCGCCATCTCTTCTGATGGTTCCTTCATTGCCACTGCCTCAGATGACAAAACTGTGCGCCTGTGGAGCACAAAGTCACGCAAGCAGATAGGACAGCCACTCGAACACGGAGCATGGGTTTATTGCGTCGCCATTTCTCCCAACGGAGAACTCCTCGTCAGTGGAGACCGCGATGGGAATGTTCGGCTCTGGTCGATTGAGGACACACATCGAACAGCAATCCAGCTGTGTTCATCTGACTCCTATTTCGCGCACCACAGTAAGGTGAACCTGGGACAAAACCTCTACCCGGAGGCCCTTTCCGACGCGGAAAAGGTGCGAACGACATACATCATCTATCTAGTAATTGCGCTGATACTGCCGGTGCGTAGGTCATTGAGCTCGACCCTTTGTCTCATCTTGGATACGAATTGAAGCATGCAGCACTTCACGGAGCACAACGCTACGATGAAGCAATCAAGACCTTCAAAATCATGCTCTCCAACCTGAATGATGCACCCGACCCACGGATACGACGTAAGCCACGAATACCTCACGCCCCGACTTGAAGATGACTTAAAAGCTTTTTGCAGAACTATGTCAGAAATACGTCAGTCCTTCTGAAGTAGAAGACAATATTCGACAAGCCATTCACGCTCATCTGGAAAACGTTCCACTTCGTCTTATCAATACCTCCACTGGGCGATTATGCAATCGAGACACACAGATCGACACCTTCATGAAAAGCACAGAATACAAGGAGCTCTCGTCATCATCAATGTCGCATAGACCCCTCCAAACAGAGCCGATCAGAGAAGCAGTCGCAAAGTACTACAGTTGGGTCATGTTATCCCATAGGTGGGAAATCAAGGAGCCGCGGCTGCACGAAATCCAGGATAAGGATGTGTACACATTTCGTCCAGCTGGAACCATGATAAAGTTGCAGAAGTTCTGCAAAGTTGCTCGCGATGCGGGGCATCAATGGGCGTGGAGCGATACATGCTGCATCGACCAGCACAACAACGTCGAGGTACAAGAATCAGTCAACTCCATGTTTATCTGGTATCGCAACTCAGCACTCACCATTGTCTATCTATCGGATGTTCCGCCTTCGTCAAAGTCCGGTGCACTCGCAAACAGTGTTTGGAACACACGAGGATGGACCGTCCAGGAGTTCCTGGCTCCTAACATTGTTCTCTTCTACCAAGCGGATTGGACTCTATATCTCGACGACCGCTCACGCAACCACAAAGAGTCTGTCAGTATCATGCAGGAGCTGGAAGATGCGACAGGCATAAATGCACGGGCACTCGTTGCCTTCCGCCCGGGAATGAGAGGTGCCCGAGAAAAACTTCAATGGGCGTCAAACCGTATCACCACGTTGCAGGAAGACATTGCTTACTCTTTGTTTGGTATCTTCCGCGTCCATCTTCCTGTAATCTACGGAGAGAAGAGACAAAACGCGCTTGGACGACTCTTGCAGGAGATCATAGCCCATTCGGGTGACATTTCTGCTCTCGACTGGGTCGGAAAGTCATCCGAGTTCAACAGCTGTCTTCCAGCTGACATTACCTCTTACAAAGCTCCGCCGTGCTTATCGCTGTCTCTCTCCGAAGATGATATCCAGTCATCGGTCTCCGCGTTGCGAAATATTGCGGCTGTGAGGTCGGCTTCGAAACTGTACACCCTCCTGGAGAACCTCAGCATCCCTCGTTTTGCGAACGCCAGACTGCAATTGCCTTGCATTACATTTCCTCTCACAGAAGTCAGGCGTAGGCCCGGTGAAGACGGGGGAAAATGTTTCACTTATGACGTCAAGGCAGACGGGCTACAAGACCTGCTGGTCACAACAGAGGACAAGCTAGTTCAATTCTCACCCGCAAAGCGTACTCGGCAGACATTCTTGCTTGTCCGTCCGTGGAATCGTTATGATCTCGATCTACCCGACTTTGCAGACGAGACGGATGGTTCACCTGATCCTGGATCTCCGTCAGATGATCCACTTGGCTGGTCTCCTGGAGACAATGAGCCGGCTACGCGGGAATTGAGGTTGCTCGTTCGCCTTGCTCAGCCTTTTGGCGCGCTTTTACTGGCGCAGCAGCGTGGTGAGGAGTACAAGAGGATCGCGTCTGATCAGAATATTATCGCACGAGTCAGGGACGTGGCTTCTGTTGATGACATGATGGACGTCAGGACGCTGGAGATATTGTAGCTGCGAAGAACAGGGATTTCTCATTTTCTCATACCTTGACAGCACCTACATCTAACAGAAGTCCCAGGACATTGTATCGTATTAAATGAAGTCTGGCCTCGTCCTCACATCTTGCCCGTATACCCCGGTCTCACAGCAGGTAATGGCGATCTGGAGGAAAGAACCACGTCCATCTCTGTGACTTCTACGAAAATTTCTCCTTCAGTGGCTCCTCTCCTCCATTGGACACGACTGAGCTCCGCATGGTTGAGTAACCATGCTGGATCGACGTGGTAAGTTGCAGCCAATGAGCGGATGCTTAGCATCGCGCGACAGACAGAGACGGCTGTAGTTGCTAC